AGTACAAGAAACAAGATGAAAGTGGTCCACCTAGAGAGACTTGCTGAGTTTGGAACAGCGAATGTGTCTGATCGGGACGATCAGACTTAGGTGGAGGGCAGTGTTGCGAAAATGCGAGGCGAATGTCAGATGAAAGAGAGAAGCCGATAACTAGTACATTCTAGAACGATAAAACGAGAACCTTCGATAGCGAACAACTCGATGATTCTACACTTTCGTCTACGAGCAGCGGACTGCTATATAAGGGCGACATTCAGCTGCCAAGAAAAGTTACAAAGTGAACTCGTTGGCGGTAACATCAGTAAGGTCGTAAAGTAAACGCGTTGGGGATTGTGAAAGTTTATGCAAGTGGTTGTAGCTAGTAAACTGCATTGTAATTGAATTGTGAATTACTAAGTAAATTAAGGAGATTAGATAAATTCTTTATAACGAAAGAAACTGCAAATTAAGTTGGCGATTTTTATTTAACCATTCAGAGATCGTACCCGAAGGATTCAGAAAATCATCCAGGTTGATTCAGCAAAATCGTAACAAAATAAATATTTAGTTTTGTAGCTGACTCAGTACGGTATAAAATTTGTGTGCTTCGCACAGTAAAACCCCTCAAACCACTTGAAAGCTTACGTTGTAGATAAAATAAGTTTATATTGGAAATGCATGTTTGCTTATAAAATGATAGTTTTACATCAAGACGTGAAAAGAGAAACGAAACGTATTTATGAATACGTTGATTTAGTTTTCTTTTCTTTTCACTTTTTTTCAGCTATTCTTCATTTTATTTTTGATAATGAATATTATGCTATGACGTAACATGTCTTTTATTACCATAAAAATTTCGAAAAAACTAGCGCAAACCCCAGCCGAAATGAAGCAGTCCAAACTTGTTTTTGAGTTTGCGTTAGAAAGACGCATGTCACCGAGTAGTAGAATTCTACCCAGTTAACGAACTTTCAGGATGATTTGGGGCTCACTCATGTTCTCAAGTGTGCAGTTAAATCCGCAAGGGTTATACTCAATTCCTACTCTTTATGTCCAAGATTTAAACCTACTCATCTAGTCATGTTTTACACTGGGTTTGGGTACCAGTGACCTTTTACAGTGGTCATATAAGGGAGCGCAAGTTTAGTGTTGGATTGAAGATGCTTTCTAAGAGAATCTCCAACGCTCCTTTAAAAGCTGCCCTCGTCACGACATCAAAGTCGTGCTTGGCGATTGCAACACCCGGGTGAGTATTGAAGGCATCTTTGGTACAGCGGTGGGAAAATTCATTCTTAATGATGAAGCATCTCAAAAAGGGACTGAAACTGACACTGGAAGGGGGCATTTCGATCACCCTATGTATAATTGCAAACGAAACTATTGGTTTTCGACAAAGTCAAAGATCCATCAGTCAACAATGTCATAACATAAGTCGTAAACAATTTGGTGCCATGACAAGCATAAGCACCAATAAAGGCAGCTTTCAAATTCAGTGTGGAATCACTCTTGTCAGGTGCTACTTTGGACTGAGTAGGAAAGCGAACAGTAAAGTCTTTTCTCAAATTGCACAAGTCGATCATTATTGTTGTAACCGCAAAATTATTCCCCAAAGTACTTTTTGGGGAATCTTGCGGGAGTGACAGTCCTTGGCCGGATAAAAATCCGGGTCGTTCCAGTATAAAGACCCGACTGTCGAAGGAACTATTGAATTTTAGTCGCCTCTTACGACAGGAATGCCTTACCGAGGGTAAATTCTTGAGCCCCTAACCCGCAGAGGTTTTGTGCGATCGTTGTGCGCACTTGTTTGTCGTGTGCATACAAAAGCTCATTTTGCTCATGTCGTCGAACAGTGAACATCGCGGAAGGACACGGCAAGCGTGTATATGTGTTAGAGAACCGCATAATCCGTAGAGCAAGCGATAAAAATTAGCAGGTTTGCGGTCCGACAAATCGTGTCGATAAAAGTTATAGAATTGCACTACAGCTTTCAAAGTATTCGATGTAGGACCCGTTGGTGGAAGCAGGACCCGTTGAAAGAACCAGGAGGAGAGCGACTTGGTGTCACTTGGTTTATCCAACAGAGAAAAGAAGAGATGAACGTCGCGAGATTGTTGATTGTTGGCTATAATCGCACAAGCGGTGCCTCCGCCAATAAAGAAGAAGAAAGAGATGGGCATAAAAAGATTGTGATGCAACTGACTAGTATCTTTAAATTTGCGAAATAATAAAATAATTACCATTGCCAATTTTAGCTTACTTTTATTCAATATATATACATATTATATGTATGTATGTGCCAAATACCTACATAGTTGTACAATAGTTAATTCAATATACTGCAGATATCCGTATTATAATCTTATATACCCTGCAAGAACGGGCTGATGGGTTCACCAATACACTCACACGATTTCGGGCAGCGCTAACACATATGCCCCTTTTTTTTGATTATCTTTCTCTTCTGAGTACATACAAATTGAAGAAGAATGCTGTTGAACGGATTATCCGATTTACTTTGTTCTTATTTTCGAGTAGAACGCCATTTTTTTTCGTTTTCTTCGCAGTAGATAGAAGTGAAAAATACATGATCAGGATCCTGTACAAGCTATGGTAATAATATATTTTGGATTAATTAGCTACTTCATTTTTCATAACTCTTTACATTGTTTTTATTTAAGGGTACTCCATATTGTACAGAAAATTCTGTTAATGGAACAGGTTAAGTAGTATGGACGCTTACTTTAGATGTCTTTATATTTCAAAGGAGCGGCGATTGTGACGGAGGCGTTCACTATTAAAGACTTCTGTATATGCGATTTTCTTATAATATTTTGCTTATTTTTGAAAACGAATTTATTGTTGTATTGTTATTTCTTTTGTGTGCTATGTAAACCATGCGCTTGATTTATGTTAAATATTGAAATAAAGACTGAATCTTTACAATGTCTGTATGAATGTATATATGTAGGGAAAATTTTTGTCAAAGCGTATGTATGTATATGTTTGTCAAAGCTGATTTCCTTCGACATCAATGCTGTCATTCATATGTGTTCGGCTTGAACGGCACTGCTGCTATTTTTTTACGTCAACCATGGTTTTGGTATCAATGCTAAGGCTCAGCTGCGATCTGTTTGAACAGAGAATGACATACACGTATACAAATGTAAACATCACGTTTGTCATTTCGGCCTTAAGAAAATGATGGGTAAATCGTTCTACGAGCTAACGGCATATGTCGTCATGCATTCCTGACATGTGTTAGCTCAAATGATTGAAAGCCTTCTTGCAGGGTCTTCATGTGAGAAGTTTTTAATAATTCACATACAACAATTTCTTATGCTCTTGTTTATCTACAAACCAGTCTGTGTGCATTCTACAGTGGCTCACAGCCAAAGTGATGCAGCTATCTAAGAAATAGTATAATAAGTTTTATCTAAAATTTAAATAATAGCCGCAGATATACACATTTAAATACAGAGCGACTGTATATCACTCCTTTATTTCATTTTTGATCAGCAATAAATAACTACGATTTGAACTTGTATAGAACGGTCAGGGCTAAGTTGAAAATTGAAATACTAGTTTTTCAGGTTATTATTTTTTCAGTCGCAAAATATGCATAAGATGTTATATTCTTTCAGTTTAGCAATGTTTGCTGGATTTATATATATGTACATATAACATATAAGTTTAAGTTTGGCTATATCACATATGCAGACCATATCATTATCAAACAAAGTTTTTCAAATGATTCG